GGGTACGGAGGCCCTTTGAGTGAACGGCGCATCATATCACATCCCCCTCCCCCAGCTTCTTGACACGAGAGGCCTTCTGATTCGCGCAGTTGGCCGCGAATCGACGCAGAAATCTTCAATAACGCAACAGGATCTCTTATCGCCGCAGGTGGTCAAATAATTGGGACATAGAACTCAGCTCGCCTAAACGCGCCCATGTTGCAATTGGGTTTCAGGGTCCACAGTTCGGTACTGGGGGCCCTGACTAACGCAAGACCCTTCCATTGTTTTAATGGTAACGCTTGTCATAAGTTCTCACGTTTCATAGACCGCTCTGGCGTTTGGGATCCCGTCTCCGCATCAGTTCAGCAAATGTTTCTGGGCCGACTCGAGGCCCCTTGTCGACACAGGTCACCCTTTTAGACGCTGTGAGCCCTGACCGATACAGGAGTTCCGCAGTATTACAGGGACTCCGAACCATATAAATCGCAGGGCTCGATCTTGTCCCTGCCTAGAAAATGGCCCCCGAGCTCAGATCGACACAGAGCTGACTGTCCGGTGTTGGTAATCTCTAGCCGAAATAAAGAAACACACTGCAGGGGTTCCCAATAGGTGCAAGAGTCGGCTTACACTTGACCTCACGGCGCTGCGGGGGGAGTCCTTGATGTCACCTACAGCTAGCCCGTCAGGCCCTTCAGCCCCTCAATTGGGCCTTTGATCTTTGGCCTCCAGAGGCCCATCGGCCCCTCTTCGGACCCCCTCAAACACAGCTCCTGGCCGGCACAAGAGCCCCTCATTCTGTCAGGAATCCCAAGCATTGTAAAATACCGGCTCTGCCTCGTTCCTGCTTGATAGATGGGTCCCAAGGGCTCATACGGACACGGAGCCGACTGTTTGGCTCCGTCAAGGCCGTATATAGTAGGGATAGACAACCCTCATAAAAACCCTTATAAAAGCCCTCTGATATTTCAGGTCACGGCGCTACGAATGGGAGGGGAGGGGGGGGGGGCGAGCCAGAGTGCAATCTGGCCCTTGATCTTTGGTCCCGAGGGACTACTCGACCCAGCCCCCGCAGAAGTACGTTGATAGCACAACCGCTCTACAGCGTAATTTTCCTTCTAGCCCATAGGGTTGACCTGTTAAAGGCTCGCTTTTCACAGATCTATCGGTTGAATTCTATCAGGCCAATTTGACTCACCTGGCGCCAAACGAAAGATTATCAAAGTGCCTTGAACCGGCCCCCTTGATAGTTTTTTATCTAGAGAAACACAACCCCCATGGTGTACCGGGTCAACGCTTCCGTGCACGGTCTGCCGTGAATTTTCCGATTTCTGCGGGAAACACAGTGATCTGTGTAACTTAATCGGTGGCGGGCAGGATTCGCAATGGAAAAGTTGTTGTTTTGAAGCCTTGGTGTTCTAGAACTTTTTTACCTGTTCCCTGCGGAATATGTCAGGTTGTTTGCCATCAGCCAATACATACGGTCATTGCTATGTAGTGTGCAATTCCTCGACAGTTTCTTTCAAAAAGTTCAGGCACAACACCCATTTGAATTTTAAATACATTTAATAGTTGCACCTGCGTCACGCTACTTTCAGTAAACGGATGCCAAATATTTAGTGTTACTTTTATCGTAACTCTAGTGTAATTACAGCTTCATGCTGCAGTTTTTATACTGAACTTCGGTCTACCCAGTACCTTTTACACTGCTCCGGCCCCTCTACGGACCCCGCAAACACGGCCTCTGGCGGCTCGGACCACGCGCCGATACAGGACCCCTGTTAGACACTGCGGGCCTCTAACTGACACCCACATGGTTTCAGCGAACCCGACTAATGCAAATCGCGAACCCGGCCTTGCTTGCTCTTGGGACATGAACTCCAGGGCTCAGACCGACACGTAGCCAACTGTTCAGTGTTGGTGGTCTAGTGGTCCCCGGTCGATACAACAGGCCCGCTGACTTCCATTTGAGATCACTGCCTCACAGGCGGGGGGGGGGGGGGGGAGGGTCCTTAACGTGACCTATGGACAGTCCTTCGGGTACTTCAGCCTTCCAATGGGGCCCTCCACCTTTGGTCCCGAGGACCCCCCCCCCCTCTTTTTCTTCCTCTTCGGACCTCCTCAAATGAAGCCCGTGACTGGCTTGGGGCTACTAGCCGACGCATCACCACCCGTTAGGGCCCAGTCCCTGACCGGCACAGCGGTCCTAACAATTGTTTCAGAGACCTAGACCAATGCAAATCGTGGTCCCTGGCCTTGCTCTTCCGTGGGAAAGCGGCCCCCAGGGCCCAGCCTGACTGGGAGTCAATTATTCGGCATTGACAGTCCTTGGCCGACCTAGACGCCCGCATTGTCTCAGGTGGTCCTCAGCTGTGCAAGAGGCATGTGGGGGGATATTTCAGGTCCCGACCCCCACGGGCAACGATTTTTATGTGATCTAGAGACAGCCGTTCTGGCCCTTGTGCCCTCCAGCCAGGTCCTTGATCGTCGGTCCTAGTGGGTCCTCCAGGCTATTCAAGCCTCCTCGAACACTGACTCTGGACGACTCGGGACCCCTTGCCAACACAGAGCTCCATGTTAGCTGCTGTGCGGCCCTGCTAGATGATGAGCCTCGACCATTGTAAATCGCTGGCTCCAGACATTTCCCTGCTTGGAACATGGGCCGTCAGGCCCATACCGACACGGAGCTAACTGTGCGTTACTTGAGGTGTCCGACTGACATAAAGGCCCTTATCGACCCAGGGCCCCGAACCAGCGCGCAGGGCCCTCTGGTAGGCATTTGAGGGTCCGAACCGTCCCCCCAGGCAAGGTCACCTGAATAAGACCTCCGGTAGGCCTTCGGACTCTTTGGGCTCTCAAATCAAACCGTAGGTCCCGAGGGACCCAAAGGGTTCTACGGAACCTATGTGGAAGGCACGTATTCCCTGTACCTCACCGTGGCGCGCAGCCAGAACCTTGGTGAGAAGGGAGGGCACAGGGTTGATAAAGGGCCTGAAAAATCGCCGGATGTGGCCCATTCGTCCAAAGAAGCTATGTTTTCCCTGCCTATATATATAAACCTTTTTACGGGATAGAAGTTACACACTATCGCGAGATTTATTCTGCCTGAAGTTCATAGTCAATGAACTGAAAGAATTATGCGTTAGCACACGCTCGGGTGGGGGGTCAGATTGACCCCCCACCCGAAAGGTTTTTCCAGAATGGTTTCCGAACGGCGCGGTGAAGCCGCGCCCAATTTTGCATAGCTGTAGACAGTTGAATAACAAATCGTTTATCATAAAACATTTAAATGTTTCTTGTAAGGTTGCTGACCTATGGCTGGTCAAAGTCAGGCCAAAGTTTCAGCTAAGGCAATTTTTAGGAAATCGTTCAATCTGATGCAGCAACTCAGCGTTTGACGGAGCCAAACATCTCTGAGACGATTTCTTAGGCACCACAAATATTTAATGGGCAAATTACGTTGACCTAAGGTCAGGTATAAAGGTCAGACCAAGGTCAAAACCAACCTGATTTATTGCTCTAACGCTTGCTGTATGGGATAGTTTTCTGGTGCTCATTTCGAATTCATTGACAGCAGGAGCCGCATTATACTTCTTCCATTGACTTCTTAAAGGTCAGAACAGGTCACTAACCTAGGATGACCGCGGTCAACATTTTGTTTTAAGAACGTACTGCCTAGCGTAATCTTTGTCGCTTATTCAAATATAAAACTCACAGCACTCTTGTATGATTTTGGTCACCATGACCTTGAAAAGGTCAAAAAAGGGTCACTGACCTCAAATGGGCTTGTGGCATTTTGCTTAGAAACAGTTGCCTACGTTCTGGCGGCACTTTCGTGACCAACCTGGAATATGACCTTATTGACCTTATTCGATCCGAAGGTCATGACCTAGCAAGTTCATACTTTTACCTAAGTGAGTTCACGTACAGGTCAACGTACCCTGTAAATTTGGTGTTTCTAGCTCTCTTAGTTCCCGAGTTCTCAGGAGGGGTCAAATTGACCCCCCAACCCCACCCGAGCGAAGGGTATCTAACCGGCCATCCGGGCGCGTGTTAAATGACTGCATGGAATAAACCGCTGGCCCTCCTCGTTTTACAATCGCCCAGTGGGCTCTTTTTAAGCTGATAAATTTCAGAAACTTTGTCAGAATCTGTATCTGGACCATGCAGGGATAGGCAAGGACCCCGCGATTCAGCTCCGTGTTGGTCTGAGCTCTGAGGGCCCACTTCTCAAGCAGGGACAAGGCCGTGCCCGCGATTTGCATCGGGGCTCCTGTATCGTACAGGGCCCCACAGTGCCTAACAGGGCATTCTGTGTCAACAGGGGACCGCGAGTCGGTCGGGGTAAGATTTGCTCAACAGGGACGTGGACGGGAGCCTGAATGGCAGAGGACCTCCCGTGTTGGTCGAGGCCGACGCCATCCTTGGGATTGAAGACGAAAACGGGTCAACAGTTTGTATTAACATGGCCAAGCCATGTTTGTCTGGAAATATTCAACATTCAGTCAGGATCGATCAATAACACAAATTACGTGGTGCTGCTGGCATTGAAGTGCCCGGTCCCGCACGTCCCTGAATACGACCTCTGGCGACCTTATAGGCCATTCAGACTCTGAAATGTGGCCTTTAATCGTTGGTTTCGAGGGGTTACCTAAGGAGGTGGCACGTGCCCCTTGTACCCTCCCCCCCTGCCTTGCGCCACTGCACACTGGACGAAAACGATAGTCTCAATTTGTTATTTAAGCTTCATCTGAAAAAAAATTAGTAAACTGCAGCCATGGCAATTAAAAAAAACTGCAGGCAGTTTGTCTTTGTTAGCCATGGTGCCATCGTGATATGGGTCGGGGTAATCCAGTCGGGCCTGTCTTATTTGCTATTTTGAATTTAGTACTGGAAAGTTTCAAAAATTACGACATTTCTGACGCGGCTGAGCTAAACACGGAGTCAAAAAAACACTGCACAGCTACATATAACACGGAACCCAAACAGCTGATCCTTCAGTACGTCCCAAGCTGGATTCCGTTGCTTGAGGCCGTCTGGGACATACGCCACTGCCGGCTCGGGAGATTAACGCCAAGGTAGGAAGGCAGTAATAGCGTAGCTTCCTGTTTGTTTGGAAAAGGGGAGTGGCTTCAGGACTGCCTCCTTACCTTCAGAGGAAAGCGGCCGAAGCCGGGTAGAAACCCGCTATGTAGGGCATTGTGGCGTTGGACGTAGGTTTACCAGTTTTCCCCTGCTCAGGCCTAATCTTATTTTGTGACACCACAGCCCTGGTACGCAGATGGCGTATCAACAAGCCCTCCACCTAAATTTTTCTATGAATGGTTACAGGCTGTAAGCTGAAATGAACGGCATCAGTTACATGGGCATAATTGAATGAAACCATGGCTTCTGGCCTTCAAGTTTGGGACCATTTTTACACCCCTGATGTCAGTTAGGACCTTGTTTATATGGTGTAATTTTCTTTTGCACTGTGTTTTGGATGGGTTCTGCCATTGCCTCAGTCAGATCTTGCTCCTGTGGTCTTTGTAACATATTTTAAGCAGTAAAAAGTTGTGCTGCTAGGACAACATGGAATCTGAAAATTTTGCATCTCCATGATCTCTTAAGTGGTAGTTGTATTATATCCAGTGACAAAATGTGCAATAGTATGTGTATAATTAATTTTATGAGTGTTTTTGTTTCTAAAACATGTACTTCAGTAGTACAGGTTTAAAGTTGGGATGTCAAAATGTTTAATTGTGGTTTTCCCGCAGCGATGTCATTTAGAATACACGAGTATGAAGAGTGTCTGACCATAGCCCTGGGGCGCACCCATTGTCAGTGTGGTGTCAATGGCAGCAGCACAATCTGCATGCTATGGCAAGCGCATTGACCTGACAGGTATTGCGGCTTGAATTCTGTCCTTAAATGGGCAGCAAGTTGTCTACTCATGTCAGTTTCTGTTGACATAATTTATCTCCTGAACCTGACCCAGCCTGTCTATTTGGCCTACCTCAAATTATGCCTTCCCTCCAGATTTAGGTCATTTTGTAGCCAAGGTAGAATGACATGCCCCAGTTGAACAAAAGGTGTTCAATTTGATCAATGTCTGTCCCAAAATTTCTGTCAAACTTGTGAATAACTGCCATGTTTTGTAGATTGTGGGGCAGTCATGGGGACTAATGACAGTATGTCATCTGAAGCTTGCATCAATATGCAAATTGTTATTGTTTTCTCAGGGAGGGGGGGGGCCTACACCAGTCTCCAGATGCATGATCCCCAGCCCCATTGGCAACATCACTCTCATGCATCCACTGAATATGAAAGTGTGTTTTGCAGAGGGAAAAGACATCATGGATCCAACTCCAGCCAGTCACATTCTTCATAGTGGATATCATCATCCTGTGGCCAGGAGCTGGCATCAGATAGGAGCTTCAATCCATTCTGAGAACCTCATGTACCCCCTATTCATTGTGTAAGTACATTTAAAGTGAAAAAGGTTTCATTTAACTTTGAATGGTAACACATCAAAGTCCACAGTCTTGTCCTGGTGTTGTGATTTGCTTACTTTGCCCATGGTTTGGCTACACATTGTGAAATTGTTACATGCTGTCAAACTTTCCATTGCATGATGCAGCAAAGACATGAATCATGAAATTCAGAGCCAGTTTCATGTAAATGGATAGCTGTCCCCCAAATCCCAGTGTTGTCATGAATGTCAGTGATGAGCTCTGCCATTCCATGATTGGAATTGATGCTGACCACAGGGATGACGATAATGCCGTCGAACCGGTGGCGAGCATGCCCGGAGTCGCTCGCTATGGAGTCAACAAGCTCGCGGAAGTTCTAAAACCCTCTCGTCGCAGATGGTCTGTCGTCTGTCCTCCTGTTCGGAGTCCCGGAGGCGAGAAGGTGGGCGTCTTGGAACACGAAACCCGTCGTCATCTCCAGTGTTGAGTTGGATTGGGGTGATGTGATCGAAGTTTTCGTCGGTGACGTATTGCTGGAACCCGACGTCATCACGTTATTGCTGCACTAGCCCTGTGTGCCAACCTACGGAATTCGACGGGCCTTACGCTGCAGTACATGGCACCTTGCAGTTAGCACTTCCAATGTTATGCAATGGGGAGGGCATGGGTGTCAGCTGTGATATGTATCGAACATGGTCATGCCATTGCGACTTGGCACAAGCTGACGGGTGTGTCCAGAACGGACTGCGGGCCGGCCAGACCAGTATGGCGGGTGTCTTGAGAGCCGGGAGGTGGGTTTTTACCGAGAATGTCGCTACATTCGAGGTCGGCTGCTGACCCCCGCTGATGACCCTGCGCCGAACCCGGCACCGTGCCATATTCAGAGGGTCACGTGGTTGGGTGGCGTTCCAGGACGGGCGCGGCTCGGGAGCCGACCACCCAGACAACGCCGTGGCTAAGGCCATCAGGGTGATCAAGGCGTGCTGTCCGTCGCTGCTGGTCGCCTGCGATGTGAGTGGCAACGCCGTCGTTGCCGAGCCCGCCCACTCGCTGCACCGCCGCCGCCCGACAGTCTTCCCACAAGGCTTACTTGTGCGGTCTATCGTTATGCAATGATTGATCCATTATATAAGGCTGGCGATTGTTTGAAACTGGCCGTTCTTGGCCTTTCGGGGAACCGCTTTTCCTTTTCGTGGCATTGTCCTCGCCAGACACCTTCATTGTGTAACTCAGCTCTGTGCGGAAGATCGGCGCTCTCAGCATGGAGCCACTCGGCTGTGTCGGCGGGCGGTGTGGTGCGCCGGCCGCCTCGCGCCTGTTCCTGGCGCGCGCGGCCCGATGAGCCGTCAGTGACGCCCCGGCGGCCGGCGCCGCCGCCCTGCGCTGACGTGTGGCACCTCACTGGCCATAGTGATGTGGCGTGTGCACTGGAGTGAAGTGGGATGCAAAGTCAAAATGATGTGTACTTTCAAGACATGGAGACCTTAAGTAGCCTGTTCCCAAAAGTTTGGACTAGATGAAATTCATCTTTGTCGTTTTTGAAATAAATCCAGCTCGTCGCACATGTGGCACAGTCTTATATTTTCAACCCAGCTAATGATTCTGCGCTCCTTTTGGGAGGTTGTCACCGATGAGAAGCCAAAGATACATTCTGTTTGCTTATTATTCCTGGTTATTAGTGGGATATTCTTAATCTCTGACGAATCCAAATGGCGAAAATTCGGATATTTGTACCTGAAATACCCCAATTTTGTTTTACAGATGACACATCATGCATAAAAATATAATAGCATGGGCTGGTACTTTGCGGCAATTGTGTAGTTTCCATGCACTATATTATCTATTTTTATTCGGGTGATTCGTTTCGGAAATCTGATTTTGTTCTCGATATGGCATACAGTTGCATAACTGAAACCTTGCATGCTGTCATGATGTTTTTTTTTAAAATTTTCGATGTCTGCTGATGTGTCTTTAGTTGGTATATATGTACGCTGCTCTCGGCAACTTCCGGTCCCTAAAATAGCATTCTGACCTTGAGGGGCGGGTCCGAGTCCCACGCTAGCATGTACTCAATGACTGGTGTATTCGTCGGCCGACCTGACTCCACCGCCAGGTGTGTCTGTCAAAACAGCCTGTCTCCGCCACCAGATGTATTGATCAGCTGCCCCGACCCCACCGCCAGGTCTGCCCCTCCTTAACCTGATCCCACTGTCAGATCTGCCCGTAGTTAACGCCACTGCCGGATCTGTCCGTAGTGAACCTGACTCCACCACCAGGTCTGTCCATAGTGGACCTGATCCCTCCGTCAGGTCTGCCCGTAGTTAACCTAACCCCACTGCCGGATCTGTCCATAGTGAACCTGACTCCACCGCCAGGTCTGTCCGTAGTAAACCTCATCCCACCGCCAGATCCGTCCGTAATTAACCTGATTCCACCGCCAGGTCCATCCGTAGTTAACCTGACTACCGCCGGGTCTGTCTGTAGTCAACCTGATCCCACTGCCCGTAGTTGACCTGACGCCACCGCCAGATCCATCCGTAGTTAACCTGACCCCACCACCAAGTGTGCCCGTAGTTAACGCGAGCTGCCCTGACCCCGCCATCAGGTGTGTCTGTGTCCGCACACGTCTCATGGCCACTGTGGTATCCTGAACGAGGACCAGACCATCAACAACCCTCCGAGTATCGCTCGCCTGGCGGAGGTGGCTCTATTCTACGCGCGCGCTGGTGAGCAAGGGCCTCCCGTACACCGCTCCGCACGATCATACACGCCATGTGGAGACACTGTCATGTTGTCTGGCAGCCTTAGGTGATACTTGGTCGGCCAATGAGATCGACACGGTTTTCTTGCTGTCTACGAGTAGTAAGCATGCATGCCTGGGCTAAACGTCTGTTGCTATTCTGTGATACGGCGGGCCTCCATAAGATGAAGCCACTTAAGTGCCTGTGACGCTGGCGTGGCAATGTTGACGTGGGTGTCAGATGACGTCACCGTGCCCCAGGCGCTGACGTGTGTTGGATGACGTCACCGTGCCCCAGGCGCCGACGTGGTGGCGCCGTCCGACATGATGGACGGCCGAGTGGCGGCCATCAAGTCAGCGCTGGCCGCCGCCGGCCTGGCCTCGCGCTGCTCGGTGCTCTCGTACGCCGCCAAGTTCGCCAGCGGCTTCTACGGCCCGTTCCGGGACGCGGCGCGGTCTGGCCCGGCGTTCGGGGACCGGCGCCACTACCAGCTGCCGCCGGGCAGCAACGGCCTGGCCCAGCGGGCCGTGGTCAGTCTCCCGCCGGCGCCGGACGGGGCGGGGGCGGGGGTCTGTCCCTCGAGGGTCAGACCTGAGGCGGTGGCGTACCGGGCAGGGGACCTCAGTGTTGGCGTGGCCAGATGGGTGGGTCTCCATGGAAACGCGCACCCGGAGCACCCAGGCTGTGCTGTGGGCTCGGGTGTCTACCTTTGCTCCCTCGTGACTATCATTCCTGAGGGTTGCGATACTGCTCAATAAGAGCATTTAATGCAAAGTTTCGCGTGCATGCATTTTAGTGAGTTGGCCGGTTTCTGTAGATCAACGTTAACGGCTGTCACTAGAGGAAATGTCCCAAATTAATCAGAAGTGGGAGCTATTTGGTACTCTGCTTCACCATGCCGCTGACGCCGTACTGGGGCTGCCGCAGCCGGTGCGTACGTCTGACCTGTCTGTACCTGACCTGTGCGTCTGACCTGTCTTAACCTGTCGTCAGGCGCGTGACGTGGCCGAGGGCGCTGACATGCTGATGGTGAAGCCGGGCATGGCCTACCTGGACATCGTGCGCCAGACCAAGGACCAGTTTCCGCAGTACCCTCTCTTCATATATCAGGTGATGATGGTGGGCGAAGCTAATCGAACACTAGCGTCGGGACAATACAGCTCCTGCGGGCACGACGAGCTGTTGTGTCGCTGGTGGACTCACCACAGAGGGCACTGCTGCAGACTGGCACCAAAGATTTGTCCCCGGTCTTCACCCGGTTGTGTCTGTTGTTGATCGCAGCGCTAGGGTGTGACGATTTGCTCGTGGCGATCTCAGCTGTCGCTTGTGTGACATGCTTCTACGGGCGTGGAATGGCGTGGTTTCGTTCGCGCCGTGTGTGGTCGGACCCGTCTGGCCTTCGCCGCCGTCTTCTGACTCCCGCGCTGCCGCCTCCCGCCTCTCACCGCCGTCTCCTGACACCCTCGCCACCATTTCCTGACCACCGCGCCATCGTCTCCTGGCCCCCGCGCCGCCGTCACCTGACCCCCATGCCGCCATCTCCTGATTCCTGCGCCGCCGCCCGGTCCGCCCCGCTGTCTCTTGACTCATGCGCCGCCGTCTCCTAACCCTTGTACCGCCGGCCAGCCAGCTCCGCGTCTCCTGACCCATGCGCCGCCCGCCTCCTAACCCCCTTGCCGCCGTTACGTGACCCCCTCGCCGCCGTCTCCTAACGCCCGCGCCGCTGTCTCCTAACCCCTGTACTGTCGGCCGGTCAGCTCCGCCATCTCCTGACCCCCTTGCCGCCGTCTCTTAGCCCCCTTGCCGCCGTCACCTGACCCCCTTGCCGCCGTCTCCTAGCCCCCGCGCCGCCGTCTCTCGCTCCGGCTGGCCCGCTCTCCTGACCCCGCTCCGCCCGCGCACTCAGGTGTCCGGGGAGTATGCCATGCTGCACCACGCGGCCAGCCAGGGCGCCGTCGACCTGAAGGTGGTGCTGATGGAGTCGCTGATGTCAATGCGGCGCGCAGGTGAGGCCGGCTAAGGGCCACCGCAGACGCCCGCGCCGCCGGGGAGATCGCCTTGGGTCTGATGCGGCACGCGGCGGGCGCCGAGGCTGCGGTGTCCTCTAAGTTGGAGGCTAACAACTTACAGACTCCTCCGTGACTTTCACGATCAACGCACCTTTCTCGTTTTTATTTTCGTTCGTAGCTTCCGTCCGTAGCTGGCACGGACAAGGAGATTTTTTGACGCGTTAGCACTTGAGTGTCTTTTTATTGTACGCTCTGGCAACCAAAATATTCGGGAGCTGGTATGGAGGAACATTTTAGTACACTGCAGCTGTCGTATTTGATGTCACTATGCCTGCTGTTCTAGCATCTTCAGTGGCAAGTCCTTCGTAACGCATGTGTTTGCCGATGTTATGTGCATAAGAGTGTCACGTTGTCTAAACGACAGTTACCGAAATGTGTCGGGTTATGGTCGAGATATTCACGTTCAAGCTCATGTCACTTCATTGTCTGTCTTAACCGCCTCATGTTTTCTCGCGATCTGTCCAGGTGCTGACGTCATCATCTCCTACTACAACACCGAAGGTGCTCGGCTGGCTGAAGGGGCGGGACTAAATGACGTCATCCGGTGCCTGACAGTTGGACCAATCCAAGGCCACTGCCCGAGCATGGGAGAGGACGACATTAGGATCATGGTGATCAGTCGGATTTTGGATTACCGCGTAAACTGGGCACTGCCAGTCGCTGTCATACTGTTTCTTCGCATATGCTTGACTGTGAAAAAGCCACAGGTAGCAAACAAAGGCAAGATCTGAACTATTTATGTTAAGATTTATGCAGTAGCCATTGACCTCATATTTACGACGATCCCAGTTTGATTTTGTTTGCACGCGGCGTTTCTTTCGACCGTTCGTGCCCAGTGCGTGGCGCCACGGCCCGTAATATTGTTTGTTTGTTTTTTGTACCGTCGTAGTGGACACGGAGTGTGTGAGCAGGATACGTATAATTCGTGCACTTTTTCTGGATGGCAAGCAGAGGCTTTGGTGGTTTTGCCCGAGGCCCCTGGGGCTATTACGCCAATATGCAGAACTAATTTTGAGAGGCTTATTATCGGATGGTGAAACTGGAGCGGGAACGCGCCTGGTGCGCTCACACCCCTTGAATTCGGCATTAAATTGAACTTAATCACACTTTGTTGTGGGGTATAGCCTTTGGCATTCTTGTAGATAAACCGATCCATGAACAATGCACGTCATAATTTCATATTTGTATTGTGCCGATTAATTTCAAGCTTAACAATTTCATAACGATTGCGAGATCCGCTATTAATGCCCTGAGAGTGATGCTCACGAGACTGGTCCAATCAGAGGCGTGTGGATTGTTGCCGGTTGAAACAAAAGGACCGCGCAGGTCAAATCTTAAAAAAAAACCAGCTGTGATAACTAGGCTCAAAGTACTTGCTCTCTTTGTTTGGTTGTTCATCATGCGAATGGATGAAAATTATTGGTGTAGTGCGCGTGTGTAATGCCATGCATTTACAAGCATGCACGCGCCGTTGCTGTTGCTGTTGCTGTTGAAAAAGGGAGATCTGTGTCGTTCGCCTCCACTTTTTGCGGGGCGACCATCTGACTTCGCCAAGCTTCGCAATCACAGCCACTAAAAGAACAGCTCTAGCCAAAGACGCACGCGTAGTACAGCCGTGATGGCACCATGGCTGCACTTCATATCTGTATTCAGGTGCATTGCTGCGAGAAGACGTCTAAAAAAACGCTGCACATCCTTGCTATTCATGATTGCTTTAGTCTATTCGTCTTCGTTTGCTTATGAGCTTTAGCCTTGCGCATCGCAGGGTAGATGCGCTTTTCCGTGGTAATGAATACCACCTGGTGCATCAAGTAAGTGCTCATCCCCAAACTCGCGGCGAGTAGTTGGTGCGAGCTATTTTTGCCACACCCCTGAGTCCGTCCACTTCTGAGCTGAATGGGCAGAAATACTGACGGCGAAACATTTTTGAACCGCTCGTTGCGCTAGTTCTATTTCTGGGATGTAGCTGGACAGTGTAAACGGCGCAGATGCCGGTTCCTTAAGGATGTAGCCGGACAGTGTAAGCGGCGCAGATGCCGGTTCCTTAAGCGCATGCTTTTTGAGAGGATCTATCTTCAAGAAGGAATGTTACGCGTAGGCTGTCCCTGGCTTCCATGGAAGTTGAACGGAGTTAAGTATTTTTTCTGGACTTTGGACATGGACGCCTGTTGGCTGCATGGCGGCCAACAGCCGCCATGCAGCTGTTGGCGTGCTGAAATCCGCCAAAACTCTATGGTCTAAGAAACTGGAGGTGTTGTGTTTCCTTTTTGTTGCAATATTTTGCCAGACCGCTCCCTTGAGCGATGAATTCCTCGCTTGGCTGACTGGTGCCGGCCGGCAGCACAGGCGCACGTTAGCTGGTGTGTTGGGCGATACAGCAGTGTCTGCAGCGCTGCGCGGCACGTCAAGTCTAACGCGGTGGAGGGTGGTGGCGGACTGGGTTCCCTACCGTGGTCCGGATATGTTTTGTAGCATACTTGCTGTGTTGGTAATCGTGGCGTGGTTGGCGATAGGTGCGTTTCGCGCAATCACAACTAGCCTTGTGTTGTTTATGAGCGTTGTGCTTGCTTCACGCGATGCGCCGTCGTTAGGCACGGCGTAGTGGCTGGCTCTGTCCACGGCCAGCCACGGTGCAGGGAGGTGTTGGCCGACGAATGACAATATAGCTACTCCACTGAGCACAGTGTTTGAGCTGCGTTCTTGGGCACCACGGCAAGTGGTATGGATTTCTGGTGCCGCTGCTGCGCCGCGGTTCACTGTTGCCGACACCGCCACCGAGGTGGCCGTCCGCGACCGCGAACCTCCATCGGCGTCCGTGGGTCAGTGAGATTGCGAACTCGTCGCCGACTGCCGACACCAGCGGCGGTGGTGCCCGGGGGCTGCTCGGGCCGGGTGCGCCGTCAGCCCGCCCGGTCACTGCGGCCGCGGCCCGGGCGGGAGGGGCTCGACCGGAGGTGTACATCGGGGATGCGTATTGAAACATCCAGAGTTCATAACGTTTAAAGTCGCAGCATTTATCGTTCATAACATTCAAAAGCGTACAAATTCCCTGGACAAAGAATCGCAACGTCCAAGCTCGTGTCATCCTAAACAGCAACATTCAAGGTCCATAACATCCGGCTTTCATGGCGTCCAAAGGTTAGAAACTGCCTCCTGATAACTGTTAAAGTATTGGTCTGAAACCTATCCGATAGAGGAATACCGCAGTCGAATTTGCCGGCGAGTGACAGTCATGTGGTACAGCGCTGCCGGATAAACCACTATGCATGGACAGAAGTCGTCCAACGTTTCGTTTATGCTCGCAAACTTTGCAGCGTCAGCGTGCCTTCGCTAGCAGGCTTGTTAACAAATCTAGGGCACTGAACTGCGGCCCGTGTCCTCGATGATCTCAGCTGTTTACTTGGCAGTAGCTGCATGGCGATCGTTGAAGGCTCTTGTCGGTTTACCTGGCACTTTTTGTTGCGCGCTGTGGATACATTCCTCCGCTGTGTATGGCTCCATGTCATGTCATGTCATTGGGGCTTTACGACGCACTCAGCTGCTGAGGCTATATGGCGTCGTCTGCCTCTCACCCTGGCAGAAGGGCAGGCGCCTCGGGGAATCGAACCCCATACCTCCCAGACGAACCCCATACTTCCGCACGCACCCCAATCGAACCCCATACTTCCCAGACGCGCAGTGGTTAACGCAGACTGCTGTGTATGGCTCCCTCACCTGATTTGCTGCGTTGGTGATATTTCACAAATCATGTTCATGGAATTGGATGGAAATGGAAAAAATGGGAAAAATGCCTAATCAAAAACCATCCAAAATGCAAGAAATACGTACTTAGGGACCTTGATACGGCACGTTCAGAGGTTGCCGCTTGGTAAAATAGGCTGAAGCCTTTTGAGGGCTTGGCCGCCAAAGCTTTGGAGTAATTGAGTAATAAATGTTTGCTTTGTACATGTTTCGGCAATTCGATACGATGTAAAGAGGGAAGCGCGCAGAGGACCGGATGGCGTATGTGTTATGGCGATGGTGTTTAAATATACCACAGTCGCTAGCCGGTTAAACATAAGAAGATAGACATTTGCTTTGCAGCTGTGTTCACAGCACTAGAATGCTATTGGGAGTGTTCTTGGGAGCGAATTGGTGTTATGTCCCAACGGTACATCGCGGGTGCCCTGATCAACTCAAGTGTGCCCGGCGACGATTATCGCGTGGCCTATCATTTCTGCACCGTACGACTGTCTCCTGTAATTCGCCAAGGCCTTGTGAGTCTGTGTCGTTTCCAAGACCACGCCTTCGTCGCAGGTGGCACATCGCCACTTACACCGCAGCATTCACCATTGCCTCCCCCGCCCCCAGCAATAGCTAAGCGTCAACTGCCGAGTGGATACGGTCAGAGCAGTGAGCCTGACCTTACCCATTAGGATCTCATTAATCTTCTCCGAGCTTTACAATGCATGGAGACAACCGAGGCATAAATCACGTTTGAATCCGCACTTTCTCAGAAGATTTATCATCGTCACTTTGATCAAATCAGTCAGGGGCGGAAAGGTTCCACTTGTTTCTCCGGTCCATTAGTCGCGGTTACTCGGGCCCTTTATACGTCCTGTTTTGCCGTTTTTTGTTTTTGTTTTTTTTTTGCTCCCACGGGCGAGCCTATATTTCGTCGTAGGCCACGATCCTTTCCAGTACATTGTCGCCTTTTCGTCAGGAGCCAGCTGAATGAGGGGAAGAGATCGTGACTTAGCGCTGTTTCTGTTCATGGCCGGGTAGGTGAGATTCCACCACGTGCGATCTCCCCATGTCGTGTGGTGGTGCCACGAGCCTTTGTGTGGGATATCCAGTTCAAAACTGGCAAAACTGGTAGTCTATTTGACTGGCACTCGCCCTTCCTTGTTCAGCGCGAAAGACACTTGCTCGATTATGGCTGGGAAAGAGGCCATAATGAGACGGCCTGGTT